AATGAGTTTGTGCTCGCAAAGGGCTCAGCCTCACAAATGCTTTGAATTATGTCCTCATTAAAGGGAACACAGCTCAAGTGACAAATAGCTGCAGCCTTCCAGGCATAGGTGAATCCGGAGTCCCCAAGGTCTGAGGCTCAGCGCTGGAGAGCGGGAAGTCCAGGGACTAGGAAGAGGAGAAGCCCTCTTTGGGGATGGGGAAGGGCTGTGAGTTATGGAGCCTGGAGATGTCAACGCGGGGATTATGGCCAAAGACTCATGAGCCTCATCTGGAGAGAGCCAAGCACCACAGCTGGCAGGTGTCACTTCCTGTCCCATGGCCTCTCCTCACAGCGCTGGAGAGTAGTCATTATCATCCCCACTTGCTAACCACATCGCTGGTTCAAGGGCTCTCCCTGGGAGAGGCAGGGGTGGTGGAGCTTGCTGAAGGCTGGTGTCAGCCTTGCTCGGATGAAGTCATCCCAGAGTCCCTGCAAAGGCTGTAAACAGGGAGGAGATGGAATTGGCGCCGGAGCCGGAACAGGGAGGAGGCCAGTCACAAGGGAAGGCCGAGGAGCACCACCAAGCCTGCAGAGAAACGAGGCCAGGAGCCAGGAGGGCCTCTGTTCCCAGGGCCGGAAGAGGCGGGGCGCTGTCAGGTTTCCAGCAGACGCAGTGGAGCGCACCAAGGAATTCCAGCCCACCTCGCAGGACAGCATGGCAATCCCATAGCCACGCCGGGGAAGCTGTCCCTGTACACCGTTGGCACACTGATGAGGGGCTGGCAGTGTGAGTTGCACACCTTACCAGCCCTCACTGAAGTTCTAACTCACACAGCCACCCTCCGGCACACGCTGTCCGAAAAAGGCTACTAGGGTCTGCCACTGGGGAGAGAAAAACCAAGGTTCAGGGAGCTTTACCAACTGCTGCTCTGTAAGGTGAATCCGGCACTAAAGACCTCGTTCCGGCGTGCACGGGCGCGCGCACACACACACACACACACACACGTACACACACCAACCCAGTCCCTCTAATTTCCCACTCCCTCTGCGCCGCGGGCTAGTCGGAAGCCACAGACGTGTGGAGCCTCCTCTGTGCCTGCCACCATGCTGAGGGCTTCGGGGAAAGTAGAGCGCAAGAGAGAGGCAATCTCTGCCCTCAAACCTCCGCACGTGTGAAGCCAGAGAAGAAAGGGAAAGTCCCCGCAGTCCCCGAAGGAACAGGGAGCGCAGGCAGCAGTGAACTGGCCGGCCGGAGCTCCAGGAGGAAGTCCTTGCTGGAGGCTGAGCAGAGGGCCTTGGTGGCAGTGATGGCAGAGTCGGGGATCTGGGCTCTTCCTCTGTTCCTTCCCCACAGGGTTGGTGACAACTGTCACAGCGCAGCGTTTGGGGAATGAGGCGGCAGGTGCTGAAGAGTCCTGGGATGCGATTCAAGGTGATCACTGGCACACAGGTCACCCGCCTGTCCCTCCTCCTGCTGGTTCACCTTGTGGGTGCAGAATCGGGATTTCTCGGCTCTTCGTAGGACTCAGCACTCCTGACCTCGAGTGGCAGTAGGCATGCTGGGAAAGGTTCCTGAGTAAAATTCCTGGCTGCCCCACTCCTATTCTGTGTGCTATTAAGCAACCTTCCTAAAGTCTTTGAACCTCAGTCTTTTTGTCTGCGTAAGTGATTCTTTAGAGTTGTTGTGAAGACAGACTTGAGGCGAGACTTCATCACATTTTTGAAAATTGGAAACAGGGAAAAGCAAACTTAGCTCTTCCCCTTCTAGCATTATCGACCTAGAAATAGTCTTAAGCTATAAAAGTTAGCTGTTAGATAAATGACAAACATTCTGCTAAATGCACTGCTTAAATTAAAGGAAAATCCCCAAGAGCCAAATAAAACAAGAGAAAAATACAATTAAATTAGGAGTTAAAGCCATATGATAGATATGGGGAATAAATACAGGGACGGGTCAGGGGCATCGAGCCTTGGATGCATGAGCTGACGGGGAGGAGGGCAGTCAAGGCCAGCAGTGGTAGCAGGAGAGCACCTGGACCAAAGACTCACCGTAACCGGGACCCTGGAAGGTGCCCTCCCAGGCTGCGCTGTCTCACTCCAGGATGGCGCCAGTCCCCTCTGATTGGTCACGACCCTCCCTTAGATTGCTCAGTGCCTCGCCATCTCTACTGGTAAAGATTTTTACTTTCATCCCAGCGACTCTGCTTCTGGGAAAATGGGGGCAGGAGAGAGCAAGAGGCTAGGAGAGACGATCCATCTGCCAGATAGCTGACCTGGAAGCCTGATATCTCCAAAGAAACCAGAAAGATATCGCCAAAGATGCCAGAGGCTGGAGTCTTACTAATCATGTTTCTCTGATGTTGTTTGGTGCTAGGGATTGAACCCAGGGCCTCCTGCGTGCTAAACACATACTCTACTACCAAGCAACACCCCCAGCCCTTCAGTGATTTTTAAGTGTGCGGAATAAAATAAGGAGATCCTTTGAATTAAACTGAACATCTTTTTATGTTAATACTCATTGGGGTGGACTAGTAGATCTGTGTGTATTCATATGCTATGAGGGTTGAAGTATAATTTGCATACCCTTTCTTGATGGAAACAATTAAGCAGAACATTAAGATGTTCTTAAAATCTAATCTACTGTATTCCTTTTAAAGAAATTATCTTAAGAAAATCATGTATGTGCGAAGATTTCACTGCAACATTTTAACACTGGAGTGTTATTCGATTACACGCATATCTGCAGATACACACAGTTTTTCTAAAACATATAAGCCTAACTACAAATGCTGTATATCATGATCCTTTATCTCTAAACTCCATTCTGTATTTCCTAAGAACAGAATGTAACCCAAGAATAGTTAAGGATTTCATGAATTTACACTTTGTCTAATCAACTGTTCATGCCCCAGTTTTCTCAGTTGACAGAATAATACCCTTCTAAGGGTTCCCTTGTCCTTCCAGCACAAGATCCAGTCTGTGCTTAGGGTCTGCATTTGTCTGTCATGGTTCTTTACTCTTTACTGTGTTTTACGACTATGACAGTTTTGACTAGCTGACTTTTCAAAAATAGGAAGAACACTGTGTTTTCTCTATTCCCTTGTGCAGTGTTGGTTGATTAAATACTAGGGTGATGGTGGCTGCTTCCCACGATGCCCACGTGTCCTTCCTAGGATTGCTAGGGTTACTTTGATTTCCTAGTCAAGGTGCTTTCTGATCTTTCCAGTGGATAAGCACCAAGTGTTTCCCCCTCCCTTGCAACTAATAAGGAATCAGTGTCCTCATCAAAATGACATTTCATTAAGACCTTTAAAGACAATATCTGCTGATGATTCTTGCCTGACCCAGTCTTTACCTTGATTACAACATGCTGACTCCAGTGTCGCTATAACTCCAGTCCTACTATAAGAAAGAGCTGTCCCTTCTCCCTGTCTGTCTGTCTCTATGAGTATGGGTTCATGATTTCCTACTTTATGAGTTATAGTTGTGTTATCATATGTGTTAGTCACCTTTCCATTATGAGACAAAATACCTGGCATGATGTACACAACTCAAAGGAAAGTTTATTTCAGCTCACAGTTTCAGAGGGTTCCGTCCATAGTTGTCTGTCTCTGAGGCAGGAACATCCTGGTGGAAGGGCATAGCAGTGGAAAGCTGCTTATCTCATAGCAACCAGGCAGCAGAGAGAAGTGAAAAGGGCTGGGGACAACATCTGTCCTTCAGCAGCACATCCCATGCCCTCCTTCCTCCAGTGGACTTCGTCTCATAATGGCCCTTTCAGCTATGAACTTATCAATGGATTAATTCATCGATGAGGTTAGTGATCATAATCCAGTCTGAAAGTTCCACCTCTGAACCCAAGAGACTTTGGAGGAACCATTTTAGATCTAAAACTGAACACATACCTAAGTATTTTAGTACTGAAATAGTTCCAGACTCGGCCAGTAGCAACATCTTCAGCTATTTTTTGTGTTCCTTGTGATATTTCATTTTTTCCTCTTCCTCCCCTCTTTCCTTCCTTTTCTTTTGTTTTTGTTTTAGAGCTTCCTTGATTTCTGGAACTATGAAATGTTCCAGGTCCATCTTCTACCTAATCCATTTTGTCTTAGTTACTTTCTTGTTGCTGGAGCGAAATATGCAACACCCACAACTTAAAGGAAGAAAGGTTTATTTTGGCTCACAATCTGTAGAGATTTTAGTAGGCTGGCTCCAAGGCATGGCAGATGGGCATGGCAGAAGAGGCTTGCTTAGGGTGTGGCAGCAGAATGCTGGGGGAAAGAGATCAAGGGAGGACGGAAGGCGATGCACCCTTCCAGGCCACGCCCCCAGTGATCCACCTCCTCCAACCAGACTTCACCTTCCACCATCACAGTTAGCTCTAAACTCATCAGAGGATTAATCACTATTAGTCGCTGCCATCAACTCCGTAAGGCAGGTGAGGCAAGGATAGGCTGATTGGGCTGGCTTTTTGAGCTCTAGTTTTCAAGGTTGATCATTTTTCAGCTTGGTCTTATTTTGAGGGGGGAGAAGGTTTTAGAGGTGTATATTCTGGATAAATCATAGATGTACAATGTTAGGGTCAAAGGGTAAATGCATGTATCCGATTCCCCTCCAAGAGCCATGGCCACTTTTCAACCTTCCCCAACCTCCAACACCCTCACCAGCAGTGCTGTGTTGCTAATGTGTTTTACTAACAGGCATCTACCTGTTGCCCTCCTGATGGGTGAGAAAGGTCAACACCATGTGGCTTCAAATTGCATTTACTGTATCAGCAAGTTGAACACCCTTTCATTTATTTCAGGGTCATCTTATATATCTTCTCATAAATTATGCAGATCTTTGATGAATTTTTCTATGGCATTTTTGGTGCTCTACTTTGATTTGTAAAATGCTCTTTATAAATTTGGTATAGCAGTCCTTTGTCTGTGGTATACATTATGAACATTTTTGCCCAGTTTGTCATTTGACTATTAATTGTGCAAACAGTGGGTTTTATTCTGTGCAAAAAATATTTTTTATTTTACTGCTGTGTAGTTAAATTTACTGAGCTTTTATTACCCTTAGATTTGGAGGCGTGGTTTGACAAGTGCCCTCCATAGACACCTCTCAAGTGATTAATGTTTCACCATCAGCTTTCATCCCCACTTCCGGGAACAAGAGCCAGGGTTAGGTCAGAGGAGGTCATCTCCTCACTCTATTTGTCAAACAGCCCTTTGGGAATCTGGCCCATTCTGCCCTGTCTTAGGTGTCTCTTCCCATTGTTCCTAAGAGGACAGGCCTCACCAGGAGGAAGAAGCATGAGAGGCCTGTGAAGGAGACCAATCTTCTGAATGAGGAAATGCACTGCCATTTAGGTCTTACTTAGGGACCACGTGATCCCAAGGACGAAGCACCTTGCTGGCCTCCTCCCGTGGTCCCTTTGACACCTACTGGGTTGGAAGTGAGGTGTATAGGGCACAGGTCTGGCCCATCTTGTATCCCCTGCCCCACTTCCTCCTCTTCACACCTCCCCCCAGCTGGATGCAGAGTCTCGGTGGGGACTGTGCTGGACCTAGTTCTGCCTCATCCCTGGAGAAGAGGACCCTGAGCCAGATCGACCAACCTGCTCTTATTTTTCCTCACTGCACCCCCAGGGGCCTGAGAGAGATGCAGATAAGAGTAGCGGCTGAGTTGGCCTGTGCTCTTCCTTAGCTCACGAGGATGGAGAGATGTTACCAGAGGGGTGGACATCCCAGTCCCTCAGTCACCTATGTCTTACCCCTGCCCCTCTTTACTCAGCTTGGACATTTGGAGCTTGGAGGGCAGGTTTAGACCCAGCAAGGTGGGTAGAGGGTGTGGGGACTGCAGTGGTGGATTGGCTGGAGGGAGTTGGATGCTGTTCAGCCCAGGTCTGATGGCACTGACCCCGTCACAGTGAGGTCGGCTGGCGGTGACGGGGATGCACTGTGTGTTACCGAAGAGGAACTGGCTGGTGAAGACGAGGACATGCCATCCTTCCCAGGCACTCAGGAGGGTAAGGACTCCGGGGCTGCCCCTGCCTCCTTTCTGGGCTGAGAGCTCCCTGCCCGTGTCCAGCTGGTTAGAGACTTGTCTCACCACGTGGCTTCAGACTCGAGGCTCTCATTTCCCAGCAGTTCCGGGAGAGGGAAGGACAGAGCTGTGTGGCCCTGAGTGGTGCAGTGTGGGGCCGATGCCAACCTTTGACAGACGTGCCAGCTGTCTGCAGGGCAATCTAGGAGGGTCCTCTGGCTCTGCCCCAGCCAGACACCCTGTGACTAGGGCCTATCTTCCAGCTCCCCTTACCGTCCCTTTCAGTTTCTCCCATGTTCCCTGAACCACCATGCGGCAGTGGGTATAGATTACTGCCCTGGCCCCACCCTGCAATCACCCAGAGGAGCAGACACCAGCCCTCAGCAGTGTGCAGACTTTGGTCTGGAGGGTGAGCCAGGCACCACCAGGGTTTTAGTTGTTTCTGGTGCTCCTCGAGTTCACATAAGGAATTTTACAGTCAGGGCCACCCCTGCCTTCCCGTTGGCCATTGGTGCCCAGCCAGAGTTTCCAGGAACACCAGCTTCCTCCTTCCTCCATACTGGTGGCTTGACTGCTGGACTGTAACCATGCACTTGGTGTCCAGGAAATCATTACCTGGTCAGTTGGGGGACTGCAGACCGACTTCCGGTTTGCCTGAGGGGATTCCTCAGGGTGTGGGACTTTTAATTTTAACACAGAATCTCTGCAAACTGCCCTGCTTTGCCCCTACTGAGAAGTCCCCAGGGTAGGACAGCTCTGATGCTAAAGTCAAGAAAGTTCTGGGCGAACTAGGACTGTGCTGTGGGTCATCAGTGGGGCCACCCTTCTGTGGGGCAGAATGGTGGGAATGACCATGGTGCGGGGGCAGGGAGAGGTGTGTGTGTGTGTGTGTGTGTGTGTGTGTGTGTGTGTGTGTGTGTGTGTGTGTGTGGCAGTGCTGGGGACTGAACCCAGGGCTTTCCACTGAGCTACATCCCCAGACCTTTTTATTTTTTATTTTGAAGTAGGGTCTCTATAAGTTGCTAAGTTTCCCAGGTTACACTTGCAGTTCTGTCTCAGTCTCCCAGAATGCTGGGATCACAGGTGTGCACCACTACACCCAGTTAGGGGTTGTCTCCTCCTTCCCAGAAAGCTTTCAGATCTTGAGAGAGGCAGGAAGAGGGGCAGGGAATGAGAGTGGAGAACTCCTTTCAGCTCTAGCCTTGCCCTCTGGCCTAAACAACTGCCTTCCTTCTCCCCCAAAGGGCTGTCAGGCCCCCGCTGCAGCCGCTGCCAGAAGAACCTGTCTTTGCACACATCTGTGAGGATTCTGTACCTCTTCCTGGCTCTACTTCTGGTGGCTGTGGCTGTGCTGGCCTCTCTGGGTGAGTCCAGGGCTCCCCCAGTATGGGCTGCAGAGGAGTGTCTGCCCAGGGCTCCGCTCCCAAACCCCCTATACCCAGAACCCAGAACTGGCGTCTTCCTGGATAGAAATTTTCATGGCTAATCCACACTGGGAAGACTGGTTCCAAATTTCTGGGCAAGAATCAGCTGTGTGGCCTTGAGTGAGGTAGCCCCCCTCACTGGGCTCCTGGTCCCCCACAGGTAAAATGAGACAGCAGGAGACAAGTGGTTCTTCTGTTTGAGTTCCAAGAAAGAATCCCTTGAGAACTTTAAAAACTATTGTTGTCTGAGCCCCACCTGGGCAAAGGAACTGACTCTGTTCCCCCGGCTCTGCAGACGATTCTGTTGTGCATGCAGGGCTGAGATCACCACCAGCTCAGGTGATTCTCAGCCCCTCTGTGGTCTGTGTGTCTCTTAAAGTGAGGCTGGATACTCCTCTGCATCCAGTCAACCCCCACTATGCATTAAAATGCAAAGTTCCAGGTCTCATGGAAACCTATGAAATCCAAGCCCTACAGGGGAGGCCCAGTGACCTGTAGTTTCTGTCAGCATGGCAGCAACAGAGGACAGCATCATAAGCCAAGTTTATGCAACTTCTAGCTGCTGGATGCTCACAGTTTAGGCACATTGATCAAGCAAGCAGGTGATGTCTCACTGGAACTCCACTCGCTCTTCACTTCAGACTGAAACTCCAGCCTCCAGTGTATCTGTTTCTTCCAATCGACTGGATGTTAGAGCTGGGAGGAGGGAGAGGCAGTGGAGGGACCGGAATGGTCCTCACCTGGTGCTCCCTCCTGACATGAGTGCCTCCGTAGGAGAGACACCTGGTCTGGCCCTGAGTCGGGGTATTCAGTAGCCACTTTTTTTTTTTTTTTTTTTTTTTTGTACCCGGGATCAAACTTGGGTCCTTGCACTTGCAAGGCAGAAGGCTGCACCATCGTGCTCCATCCCCGGCCCAGTAGCCAACATTCTTGATTTAAACAAAACAAGGTCCCCAGAGGAAGAAACACAGCTAAACAAACAATATGTAATTCCAACATGAACTGCACAATGAACAGGGTGAGTTACACAGAGTGAGCCTTAGCTATGGGCTTGGAAGTGAACTTCCTGAAGGCCTAGGATAAGAGTGGAAGTCATTCGTCTGTTCTCCCATCTGCACACTGGTTCTTAATTGAAAGGAGGCTCAAATGAAATGATAACTAAGTGATGGAATGTGATTATTCATAGCCTCTCTCAACATGTTGCTCAGATACATAGGGTGAACTGGGGCCCAGAGATTCCAAACGATTTGAAGTCATACAGTTTTGGAGGCAAGAGCCTTGGAATTTTTCTGGCTCCATGTTTTCATTTTATAGATCAAATTTGTTCTGCAAAGTTTAACTGATTTCCACAGCATCATCCAACAAATTTATATCAACCTGGGTCTCAAAGCTGTGTTACCTGGCTCTTGGGGCAGAGCTAATTCCATCGCCCACATTTGACTTCAGATGTCCTGTGGGAAATGTTCCTGCTGATCTTCTCTCTAATCTCTGCCCTCTTGTGCTCGCTTCCGCAGCACATATAGCAATCTCTGCCCTCTGGTCCTGCTGCTGAGCTGTCCCCTAGTCACCCCCATGCTCTCAGGAGGGCTCCAGGCTGCCATGGTACAGACTGCTCTGTAAGCTTCCCTGTAGGGAAATTTGACAGCTTGTACCAAGGACTTCAAAAATGCTAATATGCTTTGATCCAGTCATTTTAGCACTTAACCCTAAGAGAACAATCACATACCCACCAACAGGATATAAACTAATTATTTCTAGGGTCAAGAATTACTTGTGTTGACATGTCAGATTTTATTTATAAGCTCGGAAGAGGAGACCCACTAATTATCACCAATCACATGGGATTTTTATGTCATTTCCATACCATTTATATAGATATGATGCAGATATTGAAAGCAATAGTTTAAAAATGATTTGGGCCTTGGTGGGAAAATGTCCTTGACACAAAATAAAGCCAAACAAGAGAAAATAGATGAGATATTCAGAACATCCCAAGTTTTCTTAAAAAAATGTATGTAGCTATGTAGATGCAGAATGGATAAGAACTTAATCATAACTAGAAGAAATTCCCAAAGAGATTGATGGCAGCAATCTCTGGGTGGTAGGACGAAGAATACTTTTTATCTTATCTTGTATATTTTTTCTATATTTTCCCTATTCTATGTTATGTTCAGGTCCAATTTCTAAAACCTCATGTGGGAGGTGTATTTAAAAAAACAAACACTAGCCATAAGAAGCATCTTCCCTTTCCACTGGGGGAAGCTTCTGAGGAGAAGGGGGAAGGCTGATAAAAATGCTTTCTCAACAAGCACTTTGTGTCTTGAGGTTTGTTTCTCTGAACCAAGACTCTGTCCCAGCTTCTCCTCTTTCCCTGCAGTTTTTAGGAAGGTAGACTCTCTCTCAGAAGATATCTCCCTGGCCCACTCCATTTATAACAAGAAGCTTGTGTTGATGCAGGAAAATCTTCAAGGACTGGGTAAGTGTCTAGTGTCCAGATGTGGGCGGGGCAGGGCCCCCTGGCATGTTGCCAGAGCCTGGCAGGCTTCTCCAGCTTTCTGGCACAAGACAAGGACAACTGTGGTCCCCACTTCCCTCCCCAGTGAGCACCACCCATTCAAAGTGGCCTTATATTAGATGGACACTTAGAACTAGAGCAGTGGTTTGTATGTGGGGTGTAGATCTAGCCAGAGTTTACAGGTAGAGAAGAAAGCCACAATATCCGCATGAATGAAATAAATTTTAAGACCTTCCAAAAACTTTCCAAGGCACCATCCCTTCACTCCATTTGTGATGCTTTTTATCCCCTGCTTTAACCAGGAGGAGCCATAATAAAAGGGTTTAAAAGTAAGCTGCTCTGATGCAAACAGAAAGTTCTGGTCTGGCACTAACTAGCTGAGCACAATTGGCAAGCCACTTCTCTTGCCTTGTTTCTTGAGAGTCACAAGGTGAAAATCCCTGAGAAGATCAAATATGATAACAGAAGTTCATGTATTTGGAGAAAGTCTAAAATAAAGCATAAATCAGAGGTTCTCAGCTACCTCAGAAGAGATATTAAGATGTATTCTTGAGAATGTGGTAACGGGGTGGAGAATATGCCTTAAGTCCTGCATTTCAAATCATAAAGATGTTTAGCAAAGATTTTCTAGGAAGGGATTTCATACCAGGACTCAGGAAAGTAAGTGGGGTCAGGAAGCCATTTGCCAATTAATTCAAGGGATCTGAAATATTTAATTTAAAGAAGTATCATTCTCCCATAGTCTGTCAGCAACTCAAAACCTTGTCCCTTTCTCCTAAAGACCTGAAAGCCCTGAACAACTGCTCTTTCTGCCACGAGGCTGGACAGCTGGGGCAAGAGATCAGGAAGCTGCAGGAGGAGCTGGAGGGGCTGCAGAAGTTGCTTCTGGCCCAGGAGGTCCAGCTGGACCAGACTTCTCAGGCCCATGAGCTGCTCTCCACCACCAGCAGTCAAATCTCCCAGGAGATGGGCACTTGTGCCTTCTCCATCCACCAAGTCAACCAGTCCCTGGGGCTCTTCCTGACACAGGTGAGGGGCTGGCAAGCCACCACAGCCAGCCTGGACCTCTCCCTGAAGGACCTCACCCAGGAGTGTTACGATGTCAAGGCTGCCACGCACCAGATGAATTTCACCGTGGGGCAGACTGCTGAGTGGATCCATGGGATCCAGCGCAAGACGGACGAGGAGACCCTCACCCTCCAGAAGATGGTCACTGACTGGCAGAACTACACCCGGCTCTTCAGCAGCCTGCGCACCACCTCTGCTAAGACTGGAGAAATGGTGAAGAACATTCAGGCCACCCTGGGGGCCTCCTCGCAGCACATCAGCCAGAACTCTGACAGCATGCACGACCTGGTGCTGCAGGTCATGGGCTTGCAACTGCAGCTGGATAACATCTCCTCCTTCCTGGATGACCACGAGGAGAACATGCACGATCTCCAGTACCACACCCACTATGCCCAGAACCGCACAGTGGAGAGGTTCGAGTCGCTGGAAGGACGCATGGCTTCTCACGAGATCGAAATCAGCACCATCTTCACCAACATCAATGCCACCGACAACCACGTGCACAGCATGCTCAAGTACCTGGATGACGTGCGGCTCTCCTGCACTCTGGGCTTCCACACACATGCGGAGGAGCTCTACTACCTGAACAAGTCGGTCTCCCTCATGCTGGGCACCACCGATCTGCTCCAGGAGCGCTTCAGCCTGCTCAGCGCCAGGCTGGACTTCAGTGTCCACAACCTCTCCATGATCATGGAGGAGATGAAGGCTGTGGACATAAAGCATGGAGAAATCCTTCGCAATGTCACCATCCTGCAAGGTAAGAGGGGGGCCAGGCAGGACTGCTTCCAAACTCCAGAAGGCCTTGGTGATCTCACCAGATTCAGAAGCACCAGATTTTAGTGGGGCTGATGCAGTCCAGTAACAAATGCCCAGACAATGGATAGCTTTAAGGTGCTCTTGCAAACCTCTTTTGTAAGGGGATGACGGCAAACCTCTTTTGTAAGGGGATGATGGCTTCTCACATCTGGATTTTGATATACGTATTTAGTCAGTAGGGTCCACATAGAGAAACAGGCAGAATTTGTGTTTGGGAAACAGCCTACTCTTGTATTTTTCTCTTTGCATCCCCTTCTTGTTCAGCCACCTGCTTCTCCCAGACCTATGACTCTGAGCTACTTTTTTTGGTTTGATTTTTGGTATAGGGGATTGAACTCAGGACTTTGCACTTGTGAGGTGTGTGCGGTGCCACTGAGCTAAATCCCCAGCCCCTGCTGCACTATTCTATATGTGCCCATGTTTGTGTCAGAGTTCTCCAAGAAAAAGGGCCAATGGGAGATAGATAAATAGATAGATAGATAGATGATAGATAGATAGATAGGGAACTGACTTATATGATTATGAAAGTTGACAAGTCCAAAATCTGCAGAGCTGATGCCCTGGTTGGAAGGAAGGCCATCAGGCAGGAAGAGTTCTTGACACAGGGGAAGGTCTACTTATTCAGGCCTTTTACTGCTTGTCTGAGGCCCACCACAATAGGAAGGGCAACCTGCTTTCCGCAGTCTACCAGTTGAGATGCCAGTCTTATCCAAAGTCATCCTCACAAACACATCCAGATTCATATCTGATCCAAACTGGGCACCTATGGTCTAGTCAGCCTGAAAAGGAAATCAGCCACCACACCTCCACTCCTTGTTAACTTGGCACCCACACACGTTTTTGAAGACCATCACACTTAATCTCCAAGTAAAGATAAGGATAAGGTCATAGTCCTATCTGACATACACAGCTGTCCCGCACACACCAAAAACACCTTGATCTTTGCCCCTGAAGAAGAGTGAAAGTCCTTGAATGAATTTTACTCTTCTCCTTAAGTCCCCTAACTCCAGTTCTATAATATAAATTAGCAGTGCTTAAACATCAACACATGAAGCCAACCCAATTTATGTTTTAAGGGATACAGGATAAGGGAATAAGAAAGGAAGAAAAACAACTTGCTTGCTAGACACACACAAACAGATATATTCGTTGCAGAATAGGGAGAACATACTCAGGACAATTGCTGTCCTCAGTTCTGTAAGTGGTCACTTGGTCATAGCGAGTATTTACAACTACCTTCTTCTACTTCTCATTCCAAATTCTCTTGCCTCTCAGCAATCACCCCACAGATTGTGGTTCTTTGCTCAGTAGGATGAACCACACCTTCTTGCCTGAAGGTTCTGGGCCATTAGTCTCCATGCCTGTCTTGGGTTGATGAAGTTTCCCGTTGATCTTAAACGCTGGACAAGGTAATATTAAAGGATACCTAAGGCATCTCCTGCACTTCAAGCATACTCTTCCTCACCTCCATTGTGGAGTAGTAGCCCAATTTCTCCTTGGTATTTAGGATCAATCACTCGAGCCAGTGCAGTAATTTCTATCTTTTCTGCTGATTTAGTCATGAGGAGCCCAAAGTGACCAGGTTGTGGCCTTACCATCCTTTCCATGGAGTCATCGTCATGTCTCCTGGTGGAAGCTCTCCTGCTGTCGAACTGAGATTTCTAATGCAGCACAGCGTTAATTGCAGGAAGCAATTTTCCCAGTGGGTCAGTAGGTAGAGTAGTATGTGGTACCACTCCCATTACCGCCCCTGATTCCTGGACCTGTGGATGAATCCTGGCTGTAGGAGAAACCATGCCATATACTGGATGCGGATTCAGAGCCCACACAGCCTTCTGGAGACCCTTGCCCTGGGTCTGCAAGGTATGGCCCACCTGGCTGTTGCTGTGTCTGAGACTCCAAGAGATTCTGTTGCTCTGTGGAGCCATTTACTTCAGGATGGTGAGAGACATGGTAAGGCTGGTCAATTCCACGAGCATGAGCCCATTGCCACAACTCATTTACTGTGAAGGGAGTTCCTTGGTCAGAAGCAATGCTGTGTGAATTCCGTGATGGTGGCTTGAGAAGTTGTGTACGTCTCGGATAGTGCTTTTAACTGGAGCACTGCATGCAAGGAAGGCAAGTCCATATCCAGAATAAGTATCTGTGCCAATAAGCAGACAACACTGCCCCTTCCGTGATGACAGTGGCCGCATATAGTCTCCTGCCATAGAAGTGGCTGATCACGCCGGAGAAGGGTAGCATCAGGGACTCAGAATTAGCTCTGCTCCTAGCAGCTTGGGCAGTAGCAGTGGCCACAGCCAGGTTGGCCTTGGAGAGAGGAGGCCCGTGTTGCTGAGCCTGTGCCTGACTTCTCCCCTGCCATTGTACCCACTCGTTCCCGAGCCCACTGGCTCACCTGTGCAATACCTCTTACCCGAGAAATGTCGGGGGCACCATGCACACCCTGCCCTCGGGAACCTGGCCCCCTCGTTGCCTTCTCCACACAGGGGTTGAGGCTGTGTCCCTGGAGTCCCGGCGAAGCTTCCCTCCAGCGGGCAGCGCTGAGGCTGTAATAGAGGCCACAGACCATGAGGAAGGGACAGAATCATTTCATCTCTCCAGACCTCTGCTCTTTTCTTTTTGAGTTTAAAAACAAAATCTACTTATTATTTTTAAATCTCGGGATACAGTTTTTCTAATTAGTGGATGTTTGCGGTATTCACTGTGGGTTATTGGTACACATACGTTCCACAGCTTAATTCTTTTAAGTCACCTTCCCCTCTCTGCGTCTCTTGGTCCCCTTCTCATTTGAAAAACATCAATCTCCTTGCTTCCTAACATCTATCTTTTACTTTGCTCTTGAATTTACTTATATTTTGCATTTCTCATGAAAGAGAAACCATATGATATTTAAACTCGTGTGGCTGATTTAGCTCACTTAATATTACGGTCTCAGGCTGCATCCATTTTCCTACAGATGGCTTGTCTACCCTTCTTTATGGCAGAGTAGTGCTCCACTCTGTGTAAATACAACCTTTTCTTTATCCATTCATCCGCTGAGGGATATAAAGTGGCTTCCAAGATTGAGCGATTATGAATAGTGCTGCTTTAAACACAGGTGAGCAGGGATCACTATAATATGACTGGACCTCCACTTCTTGACATCTCCAGATGAAGGGGAAAGGCCAGCTGCTCTCTGAGACTTACTTCAGCTCTAATCTCCCACCCCATTTACTCAAGAGAAAGCCTGTGCCATCTCCATGGGTTCAATCCCCAGTATGACCCCCAAAAAGACAGAGGAACTGAATTTGCAAACTTATTCCTTAAGCACCATCTCCATCTTACTTTCATGCCCAAAAGATTCTGGGGTTTATCTGTTAAGAAAAAGAAAGAAAATTCAGGGCTGCCCCATCCTTCTGTGGTTCAGGGTAGGAGGGGCAGTGAAGGCGGGTTGTAGCCTTGAGCCCTGCTTTTGTTCAGTCCCAGCCCTGTGAAGTTCCCGAGCACGCTCCTCACAGCTCAACCTGAGCTGCAGCTTTTGTCTGGCTGCCTCCCTCTCTCTCTGCTCTGGCCCATGCTGGCTTCGACAAGCCCCTGTGCCAGGACCTCTCCTGAGTCCCGGGGTGAATGTCCTGGCTTTCCCCCAGCCTTTCTGGTTGCTCTTGGAGGGTGGCTCGGTCTGCTGTAAACTCGGCCATCCTAGGCAGAAGTGCAAATCCACTGGCATTTTTTTCAACACTCCTGAAGTGAGCAGAGCCAGGACTGAGAATCCCTGGCCCAGGAACACAGGGTGCCTGGGCCTGGCCACCCACGATGCTGCAGCAGAGCTGGCACTGCCACCCAGGTCCTGGCATCCAGACCAGGCATCTTCTACGGGGCCAGCACTCCAAGGGCGCCCCTTCCATGTCAGCCTGTGAGCCCTTGTGAGCCCTGGTTGCCTCTGACCCCTCCTGCCCGTGCCCCTCCCCACCCATCGGTGCCTTGACACCCTGGCTCCTTCTGGCCACCCCGACCGCTCCCCAGCCCAGTGCAGACCACAGAGCCACCCACCTGCTTATCTCAGACATGCAGGCAGCTGTGGCTGGGCCCTAATGGGCCTGAAACCCTAATTATAACCTCTGATTTCCTGTGTAATCATGGGCAGCCTTGGGACCCAGGGCACCCAGTCCCCTCTCCCAGCTGTCACCTCAGCCCCCACTGCTGGAGTTAGTCCTTGGCCTGAAAAGTGTCCCCTCTGCACCTGGCACCCCTGAGGCTCCCCTGTGTCCCTCAGCCCTGTCCTTGCCGCTATCTTATCCCTGGCTAAGGCCTGGGCCAGCCTCCAGCCATTGTCCTTGTGCTAACTATGAGCTATTAACTTTGTCCCCTGCCAGCCAGTTCCCACGCTCCTGACTCTCATGATTCATGACTGGCCCTAAGAGCTAAGCCACTCTGCTCACTGAGGAAGGAGCCACCGAGGACATTTCCCACTCCATAGGGACCCTCAGCACCCCAGAGAGGGGTCCCAGGGCCTCTCCCTCCTCCGGGCTGACTCCCGACTGCAGGCTCTGACTGGGGAGGCCCGGAGACCCTGCCTCAGTGTGCTCAGGGTGGCGGCCTGCATCTCTGAGCCTCTCTGACCCCACTGCTGACCTGAGTGGGGCGTTTCATAAGTTGGCACTTTCTGTACCTTGCCTGGCTGTATGTAAAATGCAGCAACCACACCCTGATGCCAGGGACACAGCAGATACTCAGCCCACAAACACTGACTGCTCTCATGGTCCCTTCCTTCTCTGCCACTGACAGCAGGGCTGTGTACACACCTCAACACCACCAATACTGCCCAAACCGTGCACGCAGGCTGCATCCACCTGCCGCATGGCCTGGGTACCTCTGTGTGGGCCCCGGGCCACAGGAGAGCCAGACAGACTTCCGGAACTTCCTGCACTTGATCTTCTGGCTGCTGCCTGGGACTCTGCTGGTTATCAGCTCTGGGGCAACAGTGGCAACCATGCTGGGGCTGGACGTAGGGAAGTGGGAAACTTTTCCTCACAGCCCTTGCTCCATATGCTTGGGGTAATGAAGTGGACAGTGACCTGGCCTTCTGCTGCAAGTGTGTAAGGAGCCCATGGGTGTCCAGGCCTCCCCATCCAAGAGCTGCCCTGGGAAGAGGAGCCAGAGAGGACTGGTGGGAAGAAGGAAGATTTATCTCTGCTTTTCCTCTTTCGACGCTGGTGCGGAGACACTCAGGAGCCTTCACAGTGGCTGCGCTGTGCTCTTCAGGGACATGGGGGAGAGGTCACTAGAAAGAGGGTGGCACCAGAAAGAAAGGCTATGAGAGAAAAGTGAAGGGGGTGTCAGCTGGCCTGGAGGACAGGGCAGGTGTCCTCATCAAGAGAAGACTCCTCAGGCTGGAGTCGGGACGGCACACACTTCCACCCAGAGGTCAGGAGCAGAGTAGAAACCAGAGCTGCGATCAGATCTGGGGCGGAGCCTCCACTCCCAGGGCAGGTGGGGGATGGGCCTATAGAAGCCACCAAGGGGCAGGGATAAGGCTGGGGTGTGTGGCCACCCAGCCAGGCAGGCAGTAGGAAGGCCTGCAGAGCTGCAAGAGTACTTGGAACCTACAACTGTGACTCTCAGTTATAGTAAGTGCAATTTAATTGTGTGCAGTAGGCACAAGTTGAGCACATATCTCATTCGAAGTAAGTGCAATTTTCCACTGAACTCTGAGCCCTGGGTTGCGGGGTGCAGAATCTCCCAGCATTGTTCCACCACCTACACAGCCTCCTGGGGCCTCTCTGCTCCTGAATATTCTCTGCTTTTCCAAACCTCAGATGACCCAGGTGCAGGGAGCAGAGTTAGGATGAAGACAGGCGCTGTGGCCTTGCCAGTTCCCAGCAAGCCCTGCCAGGCTGGGGGAGGCGGCTCCTGCATGGGCATCTGCCTGTGTCTGTGTGGTTCTGGTGCGAGCTGCCAGGGGCTTGCTGGGGGCCAAAGGGCAGGTCCCGCCTCTGGTGTCTCCAAGGCCAGGTAGTTGTCATCGCCACTGGCTGTCCCCAACCAACCCAACAGCAGACTCTGCCTCTCTGCTGGAATGCCACGTGAACCCACGCAGGGCCACCTTCCCATGGCAGCCAGTGGCAGGGAGCGGACTGAAAGGTTTTTATTGGCTCTGGGGAGGCTGACTCCATCTGGGCTCTGGTTTCCAGGTTGGTCATGATAGAGGATGTATTTACTAACACTTCCATGAAGCAATGCTCAAGGAGACAGACAAACACAGGGTGGAAAGTATGGGAACAGCAGGTCACATTAGCCAGAGCAAGGGTCCCGATGCCACAGAATTTGATTTGGGCAGCTTGAAGGCCTCTGGGCTCTGGTGTGGCACATCCCTGCCCCGGGAGGCCTCCTGGGTTCTATTTCCACTCTGATAGCATGGGGATGTCACTTCACCCCCTTGGCCTTTAATCATCTCTGTGAAGGAATTGGACTGGCTCCTATCGAGCCCCCCAGCTCTAGGATCCCATGGCAAAAGGCTTGACACAGAAGCAGAGGCTTCACAGATACCTGGATGACTTCGGCCCACTCGACCCATTGCCCTCTGAGGAAAGTCAGGTCTGCACTGGGCCGTGGCCCCACTATGGTAGAAGCCGCTGTCCCCACCAGGGTCCTCACGGGGTGGGACATGTGTGCGCTCCTCTGTGCTCGTGAGGCATTCTGATGTGGCGGGGCAGAGTGGCAGCCCCTGTCTGCTTCTGCTCTGTGTCCTCAGGGCTGGGACAGTTCTGAGAGGTGGTGACTCCAGGCCTGTGAGGCGGGAAGGGCGCGATGTCAGGGCTGCACAGGGAAGGCCATGCTCCTCTGCGTCTCCCTAGGCCTCGGTCCCGTTCCGGGCCCACAGCAGGGTCTCCACGCACATACTGAGCTTTCCTGACAGTGTGCTTAGCTCTGTGCCAACGTGGCTCTCTCTGTCTTTCTGGAGTGGCACAGCACTGGCTTTCCTGAGCTGTGATTTAAACTTAAAGATCCAGAAGGTAGAAGCGTCAAGAGCGCACAGAACAGGCTGACTTGGTCAGGGAAGGCTTCTCCAAGGAGGCCATCTTTCTCAGGGTCCTTGCTTGAGCCTCACTTACCCTGAAATGTGCCTGCTTCTCATTCCTCGCCTTCTTAGCTTTCTCCTCCCTGGCCCCTGACTCTGCATATGTTTCCGGGTGCCTGAGAGGTAAGCAGCTGAGTGTGGCAGTCAGGCACCAGGAGGAGGTGTGGAAGGCCAGCCCAGCTTTCAGAGCAGGACAGGTAGTCCTGGGTGACCTCCACCTCCTCCCAGTGTAGTCTGTTCTGAGCCCCAACTCGTACTCATGCTCAAAGCCAAAATGCCAGATGCTGGCCCTGCACCAGCCTCATTGCAGACGAGTGTGCATGTTGTCACACAGAATCTGCTATTTTTGTCCTCACTTCACCAACGGTAAAACCATCAGCCTTCACGCCCAGAGGTGGAACCTCGGTCTGGCCTGTATTTGACCCTGGGCTGTTCACTGTGCCCCTCGTAACTGACCTGTCCCCTCTTTTCTTCCACCCCAGGTGCCCCCGGGCCTCCAGGACCAAGAGGACTCAAAGGAGACTCAGGCATAAAAGGACCTGTTGGCGGCAAAGGGCCTAAAGGAGACCCCGGCAGCTTGGGTCCGCCGGGACCCCAGGGTCCTCAGGGGCAGCCTGGGGAGCCCGGACCAGTGGGTGAAAGGGGACCAATTGGCCCACGAGGCTTCCCAGGCCTCAAAGGCTCAAAGGGCAGCTTTGGCACTGGAGGGCTGAGAGGACAGCCAGGCCCCAAAGGAGATGTGGGACCCCCAGGGCCAGAGGGTCCACCCGGGTCTCCAGGACCCTCAGGGCCTCAGGGAAAACCAGGGATTGCTGGGAAGGCAGGGTCACCGGGCCAGCGGGGGGCCACAGGGCCCAAAGGTGAACCGGGGATCCAGGGACCCCCTGGCCTGCCTGGGCCCCCGGGCCCACCAGGAAGCCAGAGCCCCTACTGAGAAGAGATCCTGGCCCAGACACTGCCACACAGAAAGGGAAGGGAAGGGAGCTCAGAAAAGCTCAAAAGTTTCACCTACAGACAATTGCAGTCCTTTGATTACCATATGGGGCGTTCCCCAGAGCTGACCCTGAAGCTCTGGCATCCCTGGTGGTGACTGTACTACGGGAAAGTGCGCACGCACACACACACACACACACACACACACACACACACACACGCACACACCTCCCTGCTGGCCAGGGGGACCACTGGGTTTCCCTGGCTGTGTAAGAGGAAGGAGAGAAGACCTCCCCGCTCCTGTGACTGAGCCAGCCAGGGAGGTGGCCACCTTGAGAAGAAGGTGTGCGATTTGCCTCTGGACAGTGACCAGCTCTTTCCAGTCTCTTCGCACCCTTGCTGGCTAGCAGTTTCCCAGGGTTTCCCCTGGTTGAGAAGACCCAGGGAGGTCTGGGGGTGTAGCTCAGAGGTGAAGGACTTGCCTAGCCTATGGGAGACCTTGATTCTACCCCTAGCACCCTAAAAGACAAAAAGACCCAGGGAAACCTTTGCAGGGTATTGTAGTTGAAATTCCAGAGACAAGGTGGTTGTGGCAACAGCAAGCCCTCTGTGTCGTCAAGGGAACCATGCCGCCCCAGCCTCACATAGGACAGTGGGTCTCTACCCTAGGCTGGCATTCTCAGATTCTGCACACGGTACCCCTGACAAAATCAGGGTTTTCTTTCAAAGCATTCCCCACTTAAGTCTTGCCTCTGAATCTCAGGAGCATCCCAGTGGGAATCCAAGCAGGAGTTGCATCTGCAGATGGAGATGCAGCGGCCCTGGAACATTCCACCTAAATGCTGCCCAGCAACCAGGAAGGCCACAGAGATGGACGCAGGAGGCACCAGGCAGGAGGCAGAGGTGGGCATGAAAGCTGCCCCTGAAGCTGGCATGCTTTGTTTTCAGCCAAGCTCCTCTTTGGTGACCAGGGAGGACCAGAGTCACAAGGGCCATTTCTGAAAAATGGGCCTCCTGCACTCTCTGTCCTAACCCATAGCCATGTGGACTTTGCCCCACTGTGACCCAAAATGGCCGGGTCCTCTGCACATGAGGAGCTGGGTAGGCATGAGGAGAGACTGGATATCCTCAGGAGGCTCCTTTGGGATCACTTCCTACCCCCCATCAACTTCCTGTGCACACTGGTAGAAGGGGATGCTGGGAAGTTACCAGGCAGGAAGTGGGTCTTCCTGAGCTGAACTCGCTGGAAAGCTGCCTCCCTTTATGTTCAAGTAGATTTAGACACTGCAGTGTAGAGCATGGAGTGGCCTCTTCCCCAACACTGCCTCGGGGACATACCCTCTTCCTGGCCAAGCCTTTGTGCCACCTTCCTAGTTGTCATAGATGTGCAACTGGTTTGCACTCCATGCCCACCCTCTGCCATGTAATTCTCCTGTTTGTCTACGTATGATAATGTCATGCCACATAATATTACTGACCCAGTAAAAAGCTGTTCCAGGAGGGAGGTATCTTGTAGTGCTTTCTGTCCAAGCTGGCACGGTGATGACTTGGGGCCTCTGCTTCAGGTCAGTCTTTGAAGGGAAACAAGTCAAAAGGGTCCCACTGTGGATTCTGGACCTCAGCCCCTGGCCCCTCATTCTAGAAAAACTAAGCTGTGCCTAGAGTTCTCAGTGATTTGCAGAGGAGCCAGGGACAGCACCTCACAGGGAATTACCCCAGAAGTCAGGGACCCAGCAGAAGCGGTGGGCTCTGTGACGCTTGCAGTGTGGCCTCAGTTCTTTGGCCAAACAAGATTGAAAAATAAGACAGGTGTGGATCTTGCAGGGATACCTCTTGCTTCCCCTTTGTCTGTAAGACACAGGAACAGAACAGGAAAGGAGGAGGCAACCAGGCCAGAACTGCCCCAAGAGGTCTGGGCTCCCAGGGTTTGTAGAGATGGAGAAGGCCATGTGAGTCTCCTGGGATCTGCCCAGGATCTGCTCTTTTAAGGCATAGTAACCTCACTTGCTAGTAAGATATGGCCTACTGCAAGACTGGAGCATTGGTTTGCTTTTTCTTTGCTTGTTTGGAGGTGGTGCTTAGTAGAAGAAGTCAACAGAGAGGTGGAAGCACAAGGTTGGGACACCTACGGGCCTTGCCACTTCCTTAATGTCTGTGTGGCATGAGGGCCTTCTCCCTGCGAGCCCCTGAGATGTATGGGCGCCGAGACAGGTTCTGTGGGGGTCACAGGGTGAGTGAGGCCAAAGGCCACTCTGGTCACCTCTTAGAGGAGAGAAGCCACCTGTCTGCCGAGGGCCATGCATGGAAGAGGCCAGGGCAAAGAGGAAGGCATCCCTGGGCACAGATCTGGCAGGCAATGCCATACAGGTCTGAGAAAGTGGCACTCAGGTGGCAGCACAAGAATGACAGGCAGAGCAGGCTGGTGGAGGCACTCACAGTCTGACACCCACACAAGACTCTAGGGAGCTGAAACTACTGGCTGTTGGGTTGGGCAGAGAGCTGGGCTGGCAAAGCCTGAGCATGGAGACCATCCAGAAAAGCCAGATCTGGGACAATCCTAAGGGAGAAGTTTGGGTCCAGAATGAGAGACAAGGCCACAAGGATCAAAGACAATGGATTTGAGAACAGAAGAGCAAAGATGTAAGAAAAGCTCACAGGGCCTGGAAAACTGCCACAAACTAGTCCCTGACCCTGTGGTTTAAGGGATCCACTTGATTTAAAGACACAGGACAAAGGCAGACACCATTCAGCTCACTCATGAAGTCACCAGGGGCCCCTTGAAGCTTCTTCTAGGAAATAAGGGAGGGGGATTCCTGGTAAGAGTATAGAACTCAAGGCTGGCAAATCTCAAGTTCTTCTGGACCCATGGTTACCAGGTAGGAAGCTGTCAGCATCAGAAATGTCCTCCCTCCAGAGAACCGGTTGGTCTCTCCTCTCTCCACCTCCTGGTGCCTACTGATCTCTCCTCTCTGCATCTGTGTCCTTTCCCTTGGCCAGCACCTTCTGTTTGCGCAAGGCCCCACAGGCCAGGCTGCTACTCACCACAGGGGATCCAGCTCTTCAGCTGCTAATTTGCACTTCCTCAGTGAGAAATCCCACTGTGCGTCTCCAGTCAGGGGTTCTCCCTCATCCAGGGAGCTGCAGCCACACAGGGAAAGAAGGAGAAAGTAGTGGCACACAATGAAATGAGGGACACAGGGTGGCTAAGGGCAAGCTGATGATGAGGTCTGGTGGGCATGGCAGAGGTAAGATGAAAACAGCAACTGGAAGAGCAAACACCAACAGAGGAGCTGCCGCCCAGAAGGACACCATTCTGAGCCCTTCTCATTCAGAGCTTTCAGTCTTCGCTACTGTTACCCGCCCTCCACAGTTGGGGAGATTGAGTGTGGGTGGGATTCAATGACCCCTCAGTGAGGTTTTAGACTTAGCTGTACTGCAGCTCAGCCTTTGGAAAGTTGCTTATCCTCTCTGTGCTTCCTTTTCCTCCTGCAAAGTTATTGAGTGGATGCACTGCCCAGTAGCCCAGCTCTTGGGCAGCTCGGTTTCCATCAGGAAACATCACAGGCCACACGCTTGAACAGCAGGATTGTATTTTCTACAGTACCAGGAGCAGGGAAGTCCAAAATCAAGGTGCCAGCTCTTCCTGGCTTGCAGATGGCCATCACCTCCCTCCATCCTCACATGGTGACAGGAAAAGACTCCCTCTCCTTGTTAGGCCACAGTCCCTTCAGATCACGGCTCACTCTGTGACTTCACTTAACCTTAATTGCCCATGAAAGACCTGATCCCCTAAAGACCCTATCTCTAGACAGCAACCGGGTGTTGAGGCTTCCAGGACAGAGTTCATTCAGTTCACAGCCCTGGGTGGTCATCGACCCTGCATGAACTCAGCCACCATTCCAGTGGTGCTCATGATACAGACACCCAAGCTTCCTGGATCTCAGTGGCCCTGCACTGTCATCAGCACAGGGGCAGCCAGAACATAAGCCCTACACACCCCCGTTCCCAAGTGACTCCCTGGGCTGTGGACCCCCCAGAAATCAGGTGCACGCTCAGGCTCCACCCCTTTCTCTACCAGCTGGAGGGATTCATGCACACCTAGAGTGGGAAGCCAGGGTTCAAGGTCAGAACCGTAGAGCCCCATGTCACCTGCCCAGAGCATCTGGCTGTTTGCAGCTGCTGCTGAGACTTCAAAGAGCTGACCACAGGGCTTAGGGAGTGGGCAGCCAGAGCCATGAGGCCGGAAACAGATGCTCTGAGTCAGTACGTTCATACATCTAACAAGACGGATGCTGCCTTGCTCAGAGTGGGGCACTGGGCTGGCTCCGTGATGGGGTCCCTCTGTGGATGTGGAGCCCCTATAGGGCATGCTTCCACTCTGCTGGGCCTTTTTTTCCTGCAGAACCACAGGCTCAGCATCAGCTCTTACAGACCTGCAGTTTCTCCATCAGAACACAGCGGGAGTTGGGAGGCTGAGACAAGAGAATCACAGGTTTCAGACTAGCCTGGGCAACGTAGTGTGATCCTGTCCCAAATTAAAAATGGCTGCTGAGTGTGGTGCCTCATGCCTATAATCCATCACTCCAGGAGGCTGAGGCAGGAGGATTACAAGTTTGAGCCCCTCCTAGGCAAACTTACTCGACTTAGCCAGACCCTGCCTCAAATAAAAATAATTAAAAAGTTTTGGGCTGGGAATGTAACTCAGTGAGAGAGCATTTATCCAGCATGCATAAGACCCTGGGTGCAATCCCCACTACAGCAAAAAAGAAAAAGAAGAGAACGGGGAGGGGACTCCACCAAGCCTGGCACTCTGCATTCCTCTGTCCCGCCGTTCTAACCAAGCACCCTGCCTCCTGCTCTACGCGGTTGCTTTCCTGGAACTTCCCAGCACCACGGCGATAAAGTCTGAACCCAAGTGGAGGAGACACAGGTGGAATTTCAGCTACTGGATTAGAGCACAGACTTGATGAGTGAGGTTTTAATTCACACCGGATTTGTGGGGCTGTGACCTCCCTCCTGGGTCTCCTGAGAGAGTAAGAGATGGCTTCCTAGGAGCTGCAGGCCTGGGCCCTGGACTCTGAGTAGCTCTAAAACCCCAGTCCTGCACACTCATTTCAGCTTTACCGCCTCTGCCTCTGCCGCAGGGCAGGACAGGGCTGGGCAATCCTTCTGCCCTTTCTCCAGCTCCTCTACCCAAGCCAGGACTGAGCTGGCAACTTCTGCTGCGCCAGGCCTGGATGCACCTGTCAAAACAGAGCCATGGGACAGGAGCGGGAAGCTGAAAAACAGGGTCTGACCACACTGAACTTTCCAGCAGGACTGGCCTGGGCTGGGCTGGCCATTCCCGAATGCCTCCCAGCCTTCCTGGGAACTGCTTGACCTATAGAAACGCTGGGCTTCACTTTCTGTGCCTTCACCTGTCCTGCCTTTTGGTTTTCTGTGCGCTTGTTATGGCACGAGGTGTTCAAAGGCAGTGCTTTCAGCAGGGACTGCCTGCTGGGGTGCAATGACCCAGGAGCCCATAAAAGTGGAGATTGTGCACCTTCACCCTGGACCCACTGATTCCAAATTGCAGAGATGGGGCAGGGTGAGAGGAATCATGTACACTTTATCCAAGTTTCCCAGAAATTCTGATGCCCCTTAAATGTAGGAGATAAAGAAAGGAACATACTGCTGTTCTGATTTATGTATACTATTTCATTTAAACCTCAAAAGCAAAGTACACTTATCAGTCAGAGAACCAAGGCTCAAAAATGCTAGGAATGGAATACTGGGCTCACTAATGCTAAGTAATTCATTCAAGGCCATGTGTTGGGTGTGCAGGTTTTACAGAAGGTGGCTATACTGAGCTACTTCTGACAGAATGGTGAGCTTGGAAATCAATGTGGCCTGTGTTTGCATCTGAAAAACCCACAGAAAGGGACTTGCTCAAGGTCCAAGAGGAAGCTGGTTACAGAGATGTAATGAGGTCCTGAGTAAGGGTTGCCAGTGCTCCTGGTTCCAACTGCCTTGTTGCTGAACACCGAGATAAGAGCAGCACTGGACCTAAAACGTACCAATAAACTCAATTAAAGAGCAGCACTGAAACTGGACTGATGTGTGTCTCTCCCTGCACAAGCCGAAGCCTTCTCCAAGGAAGCTAGGTGCCTGCCTCAGCCAGGCCAGCACCCTCCTTGTAGCCTTCTCCTCCAGCCCAAGGTCTCCAAAACTGGGGCCCAGTTAACAGCCTCTGGGTGAAGAGCACACATTAAATATTAAGACTTCTTGTGTTTCTATTCTGTTTCAAGCTTTGTTTTCACATCAGTGGATCTCACATAAAATCAGCCAAAAAGTTTGGGAGGACTAAGAAAAATAGGATTTGAAAGGGAATTTCTATTTAAATGTATAAATTTGCATAAGGTAGGAGGATGGCCAAAATAGGTGTTTTTCTTTCTTTTAACCAATGGGAGGAATGAAAACGCAGCAGTTGAATACCACAGCCCAAAGCGACCTGTGCTTCTGTTCTCCCCAGCAGAGAGACATAGCTCCCCTCCGGGGCGGGTGAGTTTGCCCTCACTTGGAACCGCATGGTTTCATCCATTCCCCTGCAGACCCTCGAGATCTCCCAGGTGAGCCTGATCCCCAAGCTTAGAGCTTGGCACTGGCTTTCCCTCCACTGTCTACCATCATCTTCATTTCATCACCACAGGGTTCCCTTCTTCCCTTTACACCTTAAAGGGCAGTGTGGAAAACCCCAGGTTCTCTTGCCCACATAGCTGGCTGCCACCTATGCTAGCAGAGAAAGGAGAGGTGAGCTCCGGACTCACTTTAGACAAATAACTTAAAAATAAAATTTATAAACACCTCTTGGGACTCAATACTAAGCAGATAAACTACTCACAAAACTTGGTGAAACTTTCAACAGACTCTTCACAAAAGAACACATTAGCCAGTGAGAAGAGGACCGACATCATCAGTGATCAGAGAAATGCAGATTAAAGCCACTACATCCATACTGGAATTGCTACAATTATGAAAGAAGATCCATGATAGCAACTAATATCAAAAACGTGGAGCAAGTGACACTCTCATACAGTACGGGTGGAATTCTAAAATTACAAAATCACTTTGGAAAAGTTTGGTAGTTTCTTTCAATATTAAATATGCACCTTCCATATGGTCAAACCACTCCACTCCTAGGAATTAATCCAAGAGAAATAAAAACATACTAAAAAAACTTGCACAAAAGTATAGTGGAAGGTTTATTCATAAGAGCCCAAACTATAAACAAATCAAATGTCCATCATCAAGAGAGTGGATAAGCAAGGTGGACAGACCCATTCGACAGAATAATAGTAACAAAAAGAAACAAATGATGTTAAACACAAAAATGGATGCATCTCAGAAAAATGATGCTGACTGAAAGAAGCCATACAGAAAAGAGTGCATAATGTCTAATTCCACTCATGTTAAATTCCAGAACAAGCAAAACCAATTCTGAGTGAATGAGATCAGTGGTTACCCGAGAGAGTGGTAGGATATAATACACTGTGAAAAAGCATGAGGCAGCTCAAGGCATGAGGCATGTCCTAGCTCAAGGTGGTCACTGTACAGATGATTATATATTTGTCAAGACTTACCAAATTATACATTTAAAATTATGCATTGAAGCCCAGCATGGTGACCCATGCCTATAATCCTAGCACCCAGGAAGCTAGACAGGGAGATCTTGAGTTCAAGGCCAGCCTGGGCTACAAAGAGAGAAAGAGAGAGAGAGAGAGAGAGAGAGAGAGACCTAGTTTCAAAAACTATTGTATTTTACTGTACACAGTATACATGTTATAAGATTGATTTTTAAGAGCAACTGAGACATCGTGTTTTATTCCATAGAATAATTAAAATTAAAAAGACTAAAAGCCTTAAAATGTCAACTGTCAGGGCATATTTTCCTAGCAGGAGTATAATAAATTGGGAGAACCTCCTTAGAAAACTTTGGCTTCTTCTAAAGGTAAACATACACCTACCATATGACTCAGCATTTCCACTCCTAGGTATTTTATCCGCGAGAAATAAGAACCTATTCCACAGAAAGACTTGTATAAAAACATTCCCAGCAGCTCTAATCATAATTGTGAAACCTGGAAACAGCCCCTATGTCCAACATCAGAAGAGCAGATAAACAAGTTATGATCATCACATGCTCAGGGCACTATGAAAAGGTAGGATGAATGGGGGTGAAGAGAATAAGATGATGAATAGGTTAGAAGAGGGAGAGGAGGGCCCGGGGATTTAGTTCAATGGCACCGCGCCTACCTCCACAGATCCTGAGTTTGATCCCTGGTACAAAAGAAAAAGGGGAAGGAGAACAATAACAGAATACAAAGCAACACATGAAAAAATGAATAAACACTATAACAAAAGAAAAAAGCTTGACACAAAAGAGTGCATGCAATGTAATTCCATTTATATTGAATTTTCCAAGGGAAAATTTTTGATGCTAAAATCAGAATAGTTGTTGCCTCCAGTTCCACAGGGGAAGAACAAAGGCTGATGGAGAAACCACAAGACAAGCTTCTGTTGTCACGGCAACTGTCTCTACGTCGACAGATGTGTGATTTACACAGCTGCATGCATTTGGTAAAACTCAGCAAAGTAGACCCATGACCTCTGTGTACTTCACTTCATCCAATGTAAGTTAAAGCTTAGTTTTGAAAAAGTCATAAAAATAGAAATTCACTTCCAAAAGCTCATGAGTCCAAAGAGATACAATAGAAATTAGTTTAAATTAATACAGAAAATATTTTCAAACTATTTTATATTGAAAAATAACCACATCTCAGAAGTTCAGGAGTGGGGCTGAGGCAGGGCATGGAGAGAAAACTAATAGTCTTCATGTTCACACTACATGAAAAGGAAAGGCTAAAGTTAATGAGCTACGTGTCCACATTAAAAAGTATGCAGAAGCAGCCTAGCACACACAGAATGTAGAAAGAAGGATATACTAACACTTGGAGATTCATGAAATGGCAAGGAGAGAATTTAGACTAGAGAAGATCAACAAAATCAAAAGTTGGTTCTTTTGAAAGACCAAGAAAATGGATACATCCCAAGCAATGTTGATCAAGAAAAGTGCAAGAAGGCATAAATAGAGAACATTCACATGGAAAAGGTGACACTAGGTGGAAATATAAAGATTTGATGCCAATACCTGGAAAATTCAGAGGAAACAAACAAATTCACAGGAAAATATAACTCACCAAATTAACTCAAGAAGTCAAAAACCTAAGGAGTCTAAAACCATGAAAGAAATTGAATCAGTGGTTGAAAATATTCCCACAAGGAAAACAGCAGGCCTAGGAAGAAAGACCTACAGGCAAATTCTACCAAAACACTTTGAGAAGACAAATTCCAAATCCAATACTGACTCTTCTAAAGAACAGTAAGAGTAGGAAGAAACCCCAGCTTCTTCCATGTGGATAAAATCCTGGCTACCAGAACCAGAAAATACAATAGATGAAAACATGCAGAAAGGATACTTAATAAATTAAGTATCCATTCACAGTTTTAAATAATCTTATTCATCTAGGGATAAAAGGGAATTTTTAGACCTAATGTATAGTATCCACACAAAAGGCCCACAACAACACCTTTCCTAAAATGGAAGAATTGAAAGAATTCTTTTCATGGGAACTCAATATTGCTTCCTCCTTCTAGGACAAAACAACACAATAGCAAGGACACCAGTTGAGAAGTCAACTTGCCAGTAAAGGAAAAAGGAAAAAACGGGCCCAAAGACAATCAGTGTCTAATCTATCATCCAGATACAGATGACAGAGCCGAAAACAGAACATGTTTAACATCTCCATGATATCAAGGCATTGCCAGGAAAGCTCAGAATCACCCGCTTCTTCAACAAATAAATGGCATGGGGGGAAAGAAAGAGCAGAGAGGCTGTTCTAGACTACAAGGGTCTTAAAATTGACCTTCAAATAAAAGTTTGTTGGAAATAAAGAGGGATTTAAGAGACATGTCAACAAATACGATGTGTGGACTGTGTCTGGGTCTTCATTCAAACCAACCCACTTATGCAAGAATTTTTGAGAAAAATCATAGAGATTTGAACACAGAGTTGTTTTTAGACCATATCAAGAAATGACGTTAACTATGGTTATGTATTGTGTTTGGGTTTTTTTTTAAGCATTTAGATTTAGAAATGCACACCTGGATGATGAGGGGTAAAATAATGTTATGTCTGGGCTTTGCTTTAAAATATTCTTTGGGAGATGATAAGTAAAATATGATTAGGAAAACAGTAATAGTTGAAAACTTGAGTGCTGGGTTCATGGAGGTTTATTATCTACTCTATATGTTTGAAGTCTTTTGTAGTAAAACCTCTAAAAGCAAAAAAATGATCATTACAACAACAACAGATGTTATTTCAAAAGAGATGAGAGAGGCATGAGTTCTCTCTCTGTCTGCCAGCACGGGGCCTAACTACCAGGAGGATGAGCTGCTGGCTCAACGGTCTAAGCTATGTGCTTGTCCCGCTTCTTCCCCCCAGAATTCCCTTCCTCCTGACGGCAGCAAATCCAGCTCACGTGCTGCAAACAGCAGACAGCTGCTGCGTTGGGCAAGCATCCACTGCTTCTTCCTCAGGTAACAACAACCCTTTTCTCCTTTGAATAAACACCTTTAATTGCATCGTGTGGTTCCAATGGGCTGACCTCACCACCCACATCTCCCCCCAGGTGACTCAGCTCTGACCGGTGACAATGCCACCACACTTTTGCAGGAATGGGCTTGTTGCCCGGGCTGAACCCATTAGCCAAAGCATGTCAGCTTGCAGACTTTTGCTGGAAGTATTAGAATAGAGGCACTTTTTCTTCATTGG